TGGTAATCATATGGTTCGTTAAACATAATAATCTTTGATAAAATTCAAAAAGTACTTGTTGATGTTCCAAAAACTTCTAGAAGCACCATTAGGAGTTCTTTGTTAGTCAAATAGTTTAGTTGGTTTGAAAACCCCTAGGTTAGCTCATTTTGAGGTTGAAATCATTTTAATCTATGTTTACATACTTTGAGTGCTGATAGAGAATTTTAGTGATTTCAGGACGAAAATGAGCTACCAAATCGAGTGATAAGACTTATTTTATGGTTTTTGTTACGTTTGAAATTCATTTTAGCACATTTTAAAAGTTAAAGTTTCAGAAAAGGATATTATTTTTGTGTCCAAGGACCAAAGTTTCAGAAAATTCTCAATCGGTGTCCGGAAACACTCACTTCATCAGTATTAATACAATTGAAAATCATTGATCGTTTCCAAAATTTTGATTCAAAATTATTTTCTACTCACTGCTCTCAGAAGAACGAGACTCTCCAACATAATTATCGTACTGGTCCTGACGCTGCATTTCCACAGAACGATTGGACTTCTCAGCGCGATGGGATCTTCTTGAGTCCTGTTCCTGATCATATTCAGAATTTGATCGGTGTCCGGTAGTTTTCCAATTACTTCCTCGGTTCTGCGGATGGATTTGGGCTCTTAAATCACTTCGTTTTTGGATTTCCTGAGTCGCTGGTACGGCGTTCCTGACTTCCGAAGACGAATCTCGCTGCGAATTTTTGACCTATCATTCTGATAGGTATCTCCAGAGCGGTGTTAGCGACGAAGCGAGCGGACGTCACGGCCTGTAAAAATTCAAATTCAACGAGCATTAAAATTAGTTTGTATTACATTTTCTAAAAAAAAATGTCTACCGAATAATTGTAGTCAAATAATTCAACATATACAGTGCAGTAGAGAAGCCTTTTTGGAAAAATCAAATAAGAATGTTACCTGAGCGACTATTTTCGTAGCGAGACGATTTGCCATGATGAGAACTCCTGGAGTCCTGGTCTTGATTGTATTTAGAAGACTCTTTCACATGTCCGCCCGGGTGGTCCGAAAACTTTGGATTTTGACGGTTCTGAAAGAATGTTCATCATTCAAATTTGGCATCAAATTGTCTTCAAAATTAGCCTAAACACGATCCATTATCGATAACTTTTTAGATTGCGAAAATTCGGGTTTCTGGCTGCAAATAGCCATGATGGCATTTTCAGTTTTCGAACAATAATTTAAATTACTGAAAACCTTCCAAAAACACAGAAAAACTCATAAATTACACATTTCAAAAAATTGTGTCCAATGGCTCAGTGGGTTTTGGCACCGAAATTTACGGTCCACAAAGCTAAGGGTTCGATTCCTTCTGGGGTCAAAACTTTTTTATTTTTGTTTAGAGCCAAGAAATTATTGTTTTATGTACATTTAAGGTGCAGAAAGCAATTTTTCAGATTCTTGAAAAAAAAATTTTTTTGAAAATTTCAAAAATTTCCGGCGACGGTTTTTGGTTGTAAATATCATTTTTAACCATGAAAAACTACTTTAGACCACAGAAAACCCTACAAAACACCTAACAAAACCCTAAAAACACCATTTTCAAAAAAGTGTGTCCAATGGCTCAGTGGGTTTTGGAACCGAAATTTACGGTCCACAAAGCTAAGGGTTCGATTCCTTCTGGGGTCAAAACTTTTTTATTTTTGTTTAGAGCCAAGAAATTATTGTTTTATGTACATTAAGGTGCAGGAAGCAATTTTTCAGATTCTTGAAAAAAAAATTTTTTTGAAAATTTCAAAAATTTCCGGCGACGGTTTTTGGTTGTAAATATCATTTTTAACCATTAAAAACCACTTTAGACCACAGAAAACCCTACAAAACACCTAACAAAACCCTAAAAACACCATTTTCAAAAAAGTGTGTCCAATGGCTCAGTGGGTTTTGGAACCGAAATTTACGGTCCACAAAGCTAAGGGTTCGATTCCTTCTGGGGTCAAAACTTTTTTATTTTTGTTTAGAGCCAAGAAATTATTGTTTTATGTACATTAAGGTGCAGGAAGCAATTTTTCAGATTCTTGAAAAAAAAATTTTTTTGAAAATTTCAAAAATTTCCGGCGACGGTTTTTGGTTGTAAATATCATTTTTAACCATTAAAAACCACTTTAGACCACAGAAAACCCTACAAAACACCTAACAAAACCCTAAAAACACCATTTTCAAAAAAGTGTGTCCAATGGCTCAGTGGGTTTTGGAACCGAAATTTACGGTCCACAAAGCTAAGGGTTCGATTCCTTCTGGGGTCAAAACTTTTTTATTTTTGTTTAGAGCCAAGAAATTATTGTTTTATGTACATTAAGGTGCAGGAAGCAATTTTTCAGATTCTTGAAAAAAAAATTTTTTTGAAAATTTCAAAAATTTCCGGCGACGGTTTTTGGTTGTAAATATCAATTTTAACCATGAAAAATCACTTTAGACCACAGAAAACCCTACAAAACACCTAACAAAATCCTAAACACACCATTTTCAAAAAAGTGTGTCCAATGGCTCAGTGGGTTTTGGAACCGAAATTTACGGTCCACAAAGCCAAGGGTTCGATTCCTTCTGAGGTCAAAACTTTTTTATTTTTATGTGTACCTCGGGAAACTAATTTGCACAGCTTAGAAATACCTATAAATTGAAAATTTTATGAAAAAAGGAAAATATGATTTTTTTTTTTCAAAAATTGTCTTGTTTGGGCTCATTTTGAAGATAACTTTATGCTTGTTTTTATTTATTTTAATGAATTCTAAAAAAAACTCACAATTTTCAGAAAAATCGATAAAAAATAGACCTCATTCAGTAAGTGGTCTTGGAAGGGGTTATCTGCAAATTCAAACTTTAATTTTCCATTTTAAAAACAAAAAACTCACAATTCTAATAAAAATCGATGAAAAGGGGGGATTTCTACACACGAAATCATTGTTAGGACTATCTGAAAATATAGATTTCATTTTCTAGAGAATTCTAAAAATGAGAAAACTCACGAAATATGGAAAATCAATAGACAGTCACACACACATAGCCTTAGAGAATAAATGAATGAGAGGTGTTGGCTACTCCGTTGCCGTCCTATCCACTCCACCTATTGACTTGTCTGCGCCTCTCCTGAAAATCAATACTCTCTCGCTGTCATATAAATTTCGAGGTGGAAACAAAGGGCGCGTTTCCGAAATTCGCAGTGGCGAAAGCCAGTAAGGACCAGACTAGCGAGACCTGATTGAAAAAAAAACCACATGTTCAAAGCGAAGCAAAACCTTAGCCACAGGAAATCCAGTTTGGGTATTCGGTATGATCGAGCGTCACCCAAAAAAGTGAGAGTTTCCCGACCATCAGTTCCAAAAAAGATTTTTGAAAAACTTTTTTTTGATTCGGTAAATTTTTCAGGTTCTGTGTTTCGTGTGTTGAGGGAGGAGTTGGTTCCAATTCCAATCCAGCTCATCAGGAAGGATTTTTGAAACATCTAGCATGCAGTCATTTGCTTTGTCTTTGATGCTACTTTTTGATCTACCCAATCGTTTTAAAGATACATTTCTGATTTACTTGGATTTTTATAGAAATAAAGTTTTTTTATGAAACAAATGTTTTTTTGATTGGTTCACATGGAATTCACGAATTCAGAAATACAGGAATTCAAAAACTCAGGATTTTAAAAATTCCAGAACATTGGAAAACATTTCTTAGAAATACAAAAATCTAACAAATTAAAGAATTTCGATTTTTCGAAAATTTCGAAAACATCTCAATATTCGTTTTTGCACTTAAAGGTGGGGGACATGAAAAAAATAATGTTCTCGAAATTCCGTTCAAAGATGCCCCTCGAGGAGTTGAACTTGTGAGGGCGATGATTGAGGGTGCGGCGTCGGTACCGACTGAGCCACGCGGGCAAAGAGAAAGCGCACGCCCGATTGCATACATAAATGCGAGAACGACAGCTGTACGCAGAGTGACATTAAGCGTTGTACACCGTCACGGTAGAATGCATACTCTGGCCCCAAAAAAACTACGAAAAATCTCCTGTCCCCCCACCTTTAAGGATCTTGAAATTTGCAAAATTTAAAAACAAAAGTTTTTTTTTTTTAAATTTTGAGAAAAGTGTTTGAAATATAAAAAAGGGATTGAAATTTCGCAAAATATCCGGAGATATTTTTTCCAATTTTTCGAAAATTTCTTTCATTTTTCGCCGATTTCCAATAGGTATTCCAGTATTAGATAAATCCCAAAATTTTCGATTTTGTGTGCTGAAAATTGTTTCTATTTCACAGGGCGTTTTCTGTTTTCTGTCTTACTGATAAGAGCTCTAAACCGTTATTTGCATCATTATTCTTTCTTTTCTCTCTATTCCCTCTCACTTTCCTTAACTTTTGAATTCAAGTTCCTCTATTCATTTTAGTTGTTTCTATTTTTTGCTAGGCCGGCCGAGGCCGGCCTCGCAATTATGACTACGGTAAGCAAGTCGCATATTGTACGACAAGTTGCGTTTTTTTTCAAATGTTTTGTTTTTTCTCGCTCTTTTTCAGCAAATCACGCATTTTTTGAGAGTTTTCTCGATTTTTCGATATTTAGAGCATTTAAAAAAAGGAGGAAGTCAAGAAATCTTTTATTCAACACTGAGATAACAGGGGAGAGAAAATGACAACAAATTCAAGAAAATTAACAAAAAAAGCTTGTGTTCATGCATCAAAATCTTCAAGTCTCGCCTGTGTCGAATCGATCTTTTTCTTTGAGAATCATCAACTTTTCCAGCATTTTTAAGTCCAGGCTCTGACGAAACTGCAATCATATGCTACTTACAAACCAAAGTCACCCAAAAGTTTAAAACTTGGGGTAATATGGTATGCTAGAACTCTTTTTAAACAATTATTTTAAAAAATCCATTCTCACTTCTTTTCGTTCAAATACGTCATGAAATCAAATCAATTTTATTCTTATCAGTGTTGAAATTTCCCGTTTTCCTTGCTAACTCTTAAATTGTTTGTCTCTTCTCTTTTCAGTTTTCTTTTTTTTTCAATTTCAAAAGACCTCATTTTCATCTTATCAATTCAAGAATTATCAGAAAACTGGGCACTAAAAACTTTTAGTTATTATTTTCTGAAATATCAATCTTTCTTCTTGCATAAATCAAAATCTGAAAACTGAAACTTCAAAATGCATGATTTCTGATTTAAAAATTTACCTGTGATTCTCAAAAACTGTCTCAAAGTATCTAATTTTGAACTTTTTTTGAATAAGTTGTGCACAAAAATTGCTAATCACTGAATTTCTTATCACTCCCTTCCCCCACTTTTTGGTTACACAGTTCTCTTTCTACTTTCTACGTTTAACATTGATATTATCAGTTTCGCTCTTTTTCATATATATTTTTTCTCAATTTTCAGCTTTTCCAGAAAACATTTTTTTTCAGATGACTGAAAGAGAATTCACTCTGAAACATATATTCACTGATGTTGAGAAATTCGAGAAATATCAACGTCTCTGTAGTCCACGAGAAGACCATTTTGGTATCGGATGGTAGGTCTTATTGCTCATTTTTTAAATTATATTTGTATGTCAATTCAATTGCAGGTATATATGTATTAAAAAAGAGGACGAACACCTCGGAATGTATTTATACACAAATGTGACGGGAAATCAAGAAATTCACACTAATTTTATCCTGAGAATATTCTCGAAAAACAAGGAAAAAACTCATTCACAGTCTTGTAGTAAATTATTCAAAAATAATGGGAACGACTGGGATAATTGGGGTTGGCTCAAATTCATTGATGGAGAACTTTGGAAGATGAATATCTTGATGATGGAAAATTGGAAGTGGAAATTCATGTGAAAATAAACAAAATGATTGGATTTCCGGAAGAAACGAATGAATTTCCCAGAAAAGATTTGAGAAGTTTCGGAGAGGATATGAAACAATTCTCCGATGTCACATTGAAAGTAAAAAAGCGGAAATTCTATATTTC